GCGGATGACAAGCAAATTTTCAAGGTCATAGACGAATGACTAAACCTACCGGGTTTTGATTGACCACCCTTCAATCTATGCCGCTTCTTTCTGCCATGTGCCCTACCTTGTGGCTTCTAGGACACACCGCTTACAACGTCCTATGTGCTTAGTGTACGTCTTGCCTGCAGTCAGTATACTGTTTTGAATACATTATACTAGCTTCAATCGTGCTAAGGGATGGCAGAAATGAGAGTCTGCTATTCCTAGACTAGATGAGATGGGTTCAGCTAATCAAAAAAACGGTCAGAGAAGGGCTTGAGAGAAAAATTATAATTCTGTATGTCGCCGAACTGGGTAGGAGGGTTATAGGCCTTGTCAGAGAGGCTGACGATTGCGTCTTTTTTGGTAGGAGAGAAGTGTCAATGCCTTGTCGACTGGTAATCAGTAAGGGAGACGGTACACTCTGACTGGAGTTCAAATATCTTCCTGCTCACCTGCCGGAAGAAATAAAACGAGGAACGGAAACGACAGCGACGTAAGGTCATTTCGGTAGTTACCCTCATGATCGTCATTCCCAGACGATTCTGGCCGTTGCTGTGGCGCAGAGACGGTGAATTACTGCTCCCCCAACCACCTAGGGCAGCTATGAAGACACAGTCCAGCATAGGGCGTAAATGGCTGGTGCGGCGTGAATTTTAGCCTAGGCGTGCTATCACACCCCCATGTGCGACGTTTGTTATAAATGCGATTCCCCAAGAAGGTCTGCTGTGTTGTGACCTGACCCCTGGCGACCGATCAGCTAGGCGGTGAGGTCGACCCTCAGCGCATTTATTTCCTTAATATAAACAATCTGATGCGCTTGAAGCTATCGCGGTGCGCTAAAGGCCGTGGCTTGGTGGGTTGCCAACTGACGGGATAACTTGGACATCCCAGTCGGCCCAGGGTGTATCTTGTCGTGTAGAGTGGCTTTCTGTGGGCCGAGTCAGGCTCAATGGCTCCTTCTTAATGTGGTCTTTATGGCGCTCCCATGTGAGAGCCTACCTAG